CTGTAATTTAACGTTATTTGACAAGTTGATCCCAATCGCCCAACCCCCCCAGGGAGGCAAAATACGACTATATTCCCGAAAGGAGGACGGTTGGCAACTAACTGCCATAGGCAATATTTTTGAGAATCTATATTGAATCGACTGCGCTCCAGCATCATCGGGGCAATAAAAGGAGTGTTGTGAGCTACATAATACCATACACATAGATTATACCGTCTGGGCATAAAGCGCAGGAAAAACTGCAAATGGCACTACAGGTTCATAATTATTGTGCTGTTGAAATTTTGCAATTAATAATATTTAAATTGAAAAGGAACAGCAATAACACTGCAAGGACGTTGAAATGACACAAAACCGCCGAGACGTCTAAAATTAATTTTGTTATAATTTGTATCGTGAATAAAAAACTTTAACAGCAAAAAATATATAAATAATACATTTTTTGTAAATTTTTTTTATTTGCATTAAAACCTGTTCTTTTATAAAAAAAAAAATTAAGCTACTAACGAAGAAAAATTGATATATATAAAAAGAATGATATACATATTAGCAGAAACGAATGTTACCCATAAGGTACACTCGCTTTTACATGGCCGCAGTCGACATACTTTTACATAGCGTATATTTCATGCAAAAAATCATTGCGTATTTTCATTTGATCATTCACAATATTTTTATTTATACATGCATCGATTTTCGTCGTTCGTAGGTTGATTTTTTTAGTAAAAGGACAGGCTTTATACAAATATTTTTTTTTATCTGTTGTTTTAATTTTTTTCTCTGTTAAAGAGCTGTCTGCAGCTCTCAAGAAAAAAAGCTCGTGTATTTATATCTTAAATAACATTTACAGCGAAGGTAAAGTGCTTTTTCCAGCAAAAGAAATAAGGAAACATATTTTCTGAGAACTGCAGACAGCCCTTAGAGTTTGCATTTTTTTCCTTCACGATGCAAATTAAAATGAGAATTTCTTTGGAAGATTACCCGATCTAGAAAAAAGGCCCATAGAGCCCCATAATCTCTGACCCAAAATTAATTTGGACTGTGGACTTGAGGTTTTTCCTACAGTGTTCACTCACGTCTGGAATGCTGAATGATGAGAATGACATATCGTCACCTGAAATGTAAAAAGACATAACTAATAAAAAATTCAAAATTCACATTTTGATTTATATGATAGATTTCATCGAACTACAACTCCCACATCATTTTATGAAAAACAAAATATTAGTCACGACTTTATCCATTTCATTTACGATGTTGTTACATCTTTTTGCATTTCAGGTGACGATATGCAGGTCCACAAAAATAATTTTTCAGAAAAACCGGTATTTCTAGCATATATCGACGGTACTTTTGCAAAACCCACTACCTGGTATCTCGTCATATTAATTCAAAATAAGATTTGAAGTACTATAATTCGTTGTATTTTATTCTAAATTAACTAAAAAGTAATTAATCTTTAATATCAGATCAAAAAAATCTTAAAAATATTTTTTTGTTATTTTTTGTGGATCTGAATGAAAGCCTAACCTACGGCCTAACCCAATCTAGGTCGTTTATTACGGATATACGTTTCCGTTTTTGTTTTTTAAATATCCTCTTGTTTTTGGATTCTTCGAGTGATGTTTGAAAATCTACATATCGTCGTTTAAAGTACAAAACTGGGTATCAACAAATGCGTATTTGAGGTTGCATAATTTATTTTCTAGAGAGTAAAAACACTCATATTTCAAAATTTTTCTCTTTTTTATAAAGTAATCGCATTTCTGGCTAGTATATTTCAGGACGAATGGATAAGGATTGAGCCAGGAGCTTGTGTGATCAAATCCAATTTTTGGCAGCAAATGTCAGTTACGCGGTTTTTCAGGATGACGATACGCGATTTTGTACTTTAAATGACGATATATTTTTCATCAACTCGAACAAATGAGAACAACATACAGTAGTATGCTTTTTAATTACGCATATGCTCCTACTTACATATATATTAAAATAGCTGGTTTCTCCTATCGGGCTTAGGCAAGACCAGTTTGGCCTAGACTATACCGGTTTATACTAACACATGTAGGTAGAACTGGTTTAGCCTATGCAAAAATGGTTTTTCCTTAAATCGGGTTTGGCCGATAACATACATATATGTACATAGCCATGCTCAGAATGACGAGATAAATTGATTGAGCCATGCCTGTGCACATAATAACTTGAGTAAATAGATAACTAAATTGAGACATCTCAACGAAATTTGGTCTCTAGGTTGTCCTTTGTCAAAAAATTTAATAAATCGAATTGAAATTACACCTACTTTCCATACTCACGATACTAAGGGTCAAACACATATAGTAAAACTGCGTTTTTTGTTTTTCCCTTTAAAGTACTTTTAAAAACATTATTTAAAAAATTCAGTGCCATGCAGAATGCTTCTCGATGCTCCAGGAACATTTCTGCACTAAAAAGATGATTCTAAAAAAATTCACTTACGTCTTTTTGGCGGTATTGGTAAATGAAAGTGAAAATTCTTTATAATGGAAAAAAATTAAAAATTGTGGTTAACAAGGACGAATTGAAAATACCCTTTTAAAAATTTGTTTATCCCAAACTAGCAAAGTTTAAAGGACAAAATTACAGGATGTGGTCGTGTATAGTCTATATTGATCCTTAACGTATATTTTTTTTTTTAAATAAACATTAGAAGTTTTTAAGGATAAAATTTTAAAACGACATTTTCAATACATATTCGTCCTTCCGCACCAAAATGTTAACTTCCTCTTTTATTTCTTGCCCTTATTTTAATTCTACATTGAATTGTACTTTTTAAATAAATTTTTGAAATCAATCATAAATTTGAAATTTCAAAGTACGAGAGAAAAACTAACGTAATTTTACTATAATTGACCCCTCATTTTGTGAGTATGTATATTAATTCTTTACTGTCGCACAGAGTAATATGTATTACAATACGTGCCTTTGAAAGACGTTGGAATTCACTTTTTGAGAATATATTGTGAGGAACTAGGCGCTTGCCTTTTACACTCGTATATTAGCTTTTTGGATGGCTGCGCAGACCACTTCGGGTGTTTACAGGAACCAAAGGTTAAGAATCACTGATTTATAGAGTAACTTTTTAGGAAGAAACTATGGCGCGTTTTCATAGTCAAAACTAAGCTGGTACTTAAAATTAGTTGCAAATTTTTTGACAGATGACCCATTAAAAATTTTGTCAAAAATCTACCATTAAATTTAAGTACTAAATTAATTTTGACTATGAATACGCCTCTATATTTTTGTGAAATTTTTTAACTGTTTTGGATCGCACAACGCTGAAACCGGTGTATATCCAAAGCAAGCTTGACGGAAATTTGTCTCTAAATACATTATCTTCACACCCTCTAGAAAAAATCAACCAACACCAACAAATACTCAACTAACTTTCTCATCCAAGCTTAGATTGGCAAAATCAGAGCCTATCGGCCATTAACAACCTTGTTAGCCTTATTGCTGGAGTATTATAAAAGTGGTGCATTAAATGTCCTTGCAAATTTTTCATTGTAAAAAATATATCGGTCAAAATCAAATTAGCTCGTACTAAATTATTGAATGGCTTGAAATGCCTATTTTTGCATGCCTAAGTAAATGCATGTTTGTGAGCGTGTTTTTTTTCCCAAAGCTGGCCAACATTTTTATTTCATAAGCATACTATGCTTACAGTTTCACTGCCACTTTGCAAACAAACTTCTACTTGCTTGTACAACAAGATTATGCAACATTTACAAGTGCATACTTAACGGCCGCCAATGTTAAAATCGCAAGCTAAAGATTCCTTTCCAATGGTGGATTATAAGTGTAGAAGCTTGAAAAGAAAATTGGTAGGCACTCACATCACAGCCACAAACGCACTGCCAAACTGCATGGGTTCACAACAAATAAAAGGTAACAACAAACAATACCAAAAGAACAAAAAACGTGCAACAACACAGCATTTAAATAATCATTTTGCAACGATTTCTCGCCTTCCTTTAATACCTTTGGTTGCCGCTGCTACCGCTCCTGTTGTGGCCCCATTGTGAAGCGTTTGTGGGCACTACTTTTATTGTTTGTTAGTTGAAAAGCTACAATATTGTTGCTGTTATTGTCGTTGTTGTTGCAAGGCAAATGGTGAATTTGATGGCATCATTTGTTGGCGAGTTCCTGTAAGTTTAGTGCACTCAATACCCTTGCCTCGAGACATAGTAGCAACTGCCATCGACAGCATCCTCAGCTCAGTGTTGGTTTGCATGGATGCAAGTGCGAGCACCTACATACATACATACATACATACATACGGAGGAGCTACCTCTCCTTTGGTCACTCCGATTTAGTTGCTGCAGAATAAATGAAGCGTTTTGAAATTCACAGCACACAAAGCAGCAGGCAGTGCAGGAAATAAAGTGAAGAGGATATTTAAGCAATTGAAAGCAGGCGCGCTCGATTCGTTCAACCACAATGGCCGACCAGCAACACCAAATAGCCACCGACGCGACGCCAACAGTTGAACTCACCCCTTAACGCCACCGCTTCCGTATATTTGACTACATAAGCTAAACTGCAGGCGTAAGCTGAATAAAGTTTGTGAATGCGCGGTGACGACGACGGTGTTGGTGATGGTGTTGGCGTTGGTGTTGGTGTTGGTGACTGTAGCAAAATGCACTCCATTGTAAAGTACTGAGCAACCGCAGGGAATTGCTGTCAATTATAAAAGTAGGTGCCTATGATGTCGCTCAGCCGACAATGGGGTGACGTAAAAATGGCAAAGTTTGGATGATTTGAATTTTTTTTGAAATTTACTAGGAGTATATTATTTATTTGCGTGCATATTTGCTAACTAATAACACAAGGAATTTAAGCAGAAAATGGTGCTAAAATTATACTACTATTGCTCATCTTAAAAATTTAAGTTCAAAGTTGTTTTCTTATAATAAAAATCATATTCATTGAATATTCATATATGTATTCACTATTTACAGATGTTTGGTTACACTGGCAAATGGGGCACCTGGTTCACATTGATACTGGTGCAATTGGCAATTATGCTGGGCTTCGCTTGTCGCGTATCTGAGTTTCCTTGCAAGGGTAATAACAACATTTGCATACCATTGGACAAATTCTGCGATGGACGTGCGGATTGTGAAGATGGCAGCGATGAGCCAAAACATTGTTCGGGTGAGTAAGTCGTAGAAGGAAATGTGTCTAAAACTTATTTAAGAGCAAAAGTGGAGTTGCTGTTGAAGTTATCTACTACTATGTATGTACGTATGTCGAAGTGAAATATTGAGCTGAGAAGACGTTTTAAGACATAGAATGAAACAATACGTAGAAAAGTAATAAATAATGTTTTTTTTTTAAGAAAAAGTTAGGATTTGAAATCTGCATTCTACAGGGTAGCTAATGAATATTGCTACTCTAGGAAACTACATATAACTTGTTGCTTAATTCATGTAATTTATTTTTTAACCTACTTCAAAAAAGCAGGTGGTTATCTATTCGTCGCAATGTTTTAATTTTTTTAATGTATGTTACCGCACAACTTTGAACCATGTTAACCGATTTTAAAAGGAAGGGTGGTTTCTCAGAGGTGGTCCCATACTAATTTGGTTTAGATCCGATCATTGGATTCTGAAGAAATTAACGGTAATCTTAAAGTTTTATATGAGAATTAAAGTCGGTTTTGTTGTTTACTTAAAAATAGCTTGTTATTTATTCATTTGAGAAATTGACTATTTTTGTTAATTGGTTTTAAAAGCAATTGAATTTAAATGGCCTCCAAGGTCGGTGATGCGTTTGTGATATTTTATTAAAACGTTATGCATTACTGACTCGGGGCCATAGTGGGAATCGCCTCAATTGTCATTCGTATGGATTGCTTTTAAATCCGAGGTTCCCAAACTTTTTTCCCTAAGACCACTTTCATAATTTTACGGGTTTTAGTGGACCCCAGCCACTACATTTTTAATATATCCTAAAAGCCGTCAAAAAATTTTAGCATTAGTCCTAATGTTGGAATTTTCGCCGCGGCTGAGTTCTAACCCTAAATTCGGAGTGGTGAAAACAAAAAGCAAAATATCATATTTTCTTGTGTTCTATTTATTAACAAAATATAAATACAGACTTCCAAGTTTTTTATTATCACTCCAATTTTATAAACTCAGAGTGCTATCGTTATTTACGCTCTCTTTACTATAAACTTCTCATAGTTTATTCGTATTTATGGCATCACTTTTAATTGCATCGCTTCGAGTCATAAATTAATGCTCACTCACATTTAAAAAAAAAACAAAATATTAAACAACAAAACCGCAAAACTTTTTACACCAAACTTTTAATTCAGAAACACACAATTGAGAAAAGACCGAATTTAGAAAAGCCGATGACGAACAACCAAGCAAGCTGCGCATCAAATTTAGAGCATACATCAAGGTGAATTTATACCAGGTGGTGTTACTAGCTCAGCTGATTTTGTGTATGTGTTTCGCCGCACGGCTTCTGATATCAAATTGAAACATTTTTTTTTGAATTTCTACACACACTCTTATAGATTTTGACAGTTTATGCCGCCAAAGCAAAAACAAAACACATGTAAATTTTTGTTTTTGTGCTCCTGCTATCACCTTATATTAATTCGCCTTGGCATACATAAAATGATTGCTCAATGAGCGCTCCATTCTGCTTCAATGAGTTTATCAACGATCAAAACTACTGAGAGATTAAAGCTAGATTAGCAAAACAGATAGGAAGCACTTTTATGAAGAGTAACATTTTCGAAAAAAGTGTTGGCTAGGGCCTTTGTGAATTAAGGTAACGCTATATTCCCTTTGGAAGGATACTACGGACTTCAACGGGTGAAAGTGGCGCACAATCCAAATCATAGTTTCATGGTTTCAATCTTCCATTGGCGTGAAATATAAGGAGCTCTAAATGAAATAAAACTAAATGGAGCAGATTGCTTGCGTAGGAAGAAAGCTATTACGTTTTTTTTTTTGTAGCATCTCTCAGCAGACACCCTGTATTTTGTACAAAATACACACACACTTTGAAATTTACTTTTTTAAGCATTTTTTCAACAATTGTGTTAAGCTTGAAGAAATTTTTATGGAAAGTAGAGCTATAGTAAAAACTAAAGCTGTAATTTCGGAGATCACCACATCCCCTTAAAATTTTTATGTAATTTTCGTTACCATTTTTGATGATACAATGTTAGGTTAAGTGGTATTCCTGCGAAGTTCACATTAATATATAAATTTTGTTGGTCCATTGTGATACGACTGAGTGGTAAGACTATTACTGGAACGGTCACTGGGAAATTCTCTCGACAAGGCCCTAATTCGCTTGAGCTAGAGCTTGTCTAGATTTCAGTAACTAAGATTTTCTCGACAGTGCCAGAATAGGTTCCGGCATGTAAATCCATTCTACAGATAATCTAGTACACAAAAATTAATCAGAGATAATCATTTCTAGCGCTGAACAGATTCTCATCAACGGTTATCTTTCGTAGTGTCTGACACTACTATGCAATATTTTGACTTGGGTAACCGGTTCAGGTGCTAGGTAGATTTTCTGCAGTACGTTTACGTTGGCAGCGCCAGGACAAAATCTGTCATGCGACAGCCTTAGGTCGAGGCCACGCAATGAGCGGCAAAGCGGCTGGCAGGCTTGAAATTAAAACATATGCTATTGAAGTGGCCACACGCTGAGCGGCATTTATGAGCGGGGGAGCGGCATTTCGGCGCCGTTTTGGCGCTCATTGCGTGGTCTCGACCTTAAAAGGGTAACCTTGACGACCACAGGATAGGTTGCCCTGAATTAAGTTTATTGGCTTAGAGCTGTCTGGCTCTAGCATTTAATACCTTGACTTGGGCAACTGATCCTGATGCTGGCCAGATATTCCTGACAATGATTTCCTTGTCACTTTCTCAAAAGGCTTTTCCTAATTACGCCTAGGATTGTAGAAAATTCCCAGTTTTACATTTTATATTAGGCACTGTATGGGAATTCTGAATGGTAATTCGACATTTCATTAGACGGAAGCTGCCCAGGATCGCCGGGCAGTGGCTGCTTGGAGCGAGCGCTGCCTTTGTGTCTGGCGGCTCGATAGTTTTTCTTGTCGGGCGCTAGATGGAAGAAAGAAAATCTAACCAACGTCTGCTCAAAATCGAGATTTATTTCTGAACGGGTTAGCCTAGCGTACGCAGGGCAGTTGAAAAGCGAGTGCTGATATGCTTGCGTTGACCATTAAACTGCTATTGCAATATGCGTCGGATGTTAAGTCGTACCGCATGAGCTCCTATTCGACAGTGATCCGGTAAATGTCCATCCAATCGGGAATAGGTTTATTTTACCCTTATCTCAGAGGTTTCCTCTCGCCAAGTCCAACTATTAATAACACAAAAAAGTTATAACAGCTAGCTCTCCTTCTGAGCACACACAACCGCAGTCGCAACCAATGGACAGGGCAGCAGCAAAGTCCTTAAATCACTGGCCAGCAGCACCTGCGACAAAGTCAGAGAAATGCCGGCACCCTAAAATTGTGCATATGCAAACTGTGCATACGAAATAATGCATACGAAAAAAACCGAAATAATGCATATCTGCACAGTTTCGGTTGAAAACCGCAATAATGCATATTAGAAAAACCGAAATTATGCATATGCGCACTTTCGTTTGAAAACCGAAATAATGCATATCAAAAAAACGGAAATAATGCATATATGCACAGTTTCGGTTGAAAACCGAAATAATGCATATGAAAAACCCGAAATAATGCATACATGCACACTTTCGTTTGAAAACCGAAATAACGCATATGAGAAAAACGAAGTAATGCATACATGCACAGTTTCGGTTCAAAACCGAAATAATGCATATGACAAAAACCGAAATAGTGCATACATGAAAACGAACTTCTTTCTGAGTAGGCGGCCTTCGGCCGCGCTTAGGGATTATAACCCTTACTAAGTAGAATTCTCCTTTCTGTGTTGCCGGAAAAGGGGGCCGGAAGTACTTTTGCGCAGAACTTCTTTCTGCGTAGGCGGCCTTCGGCCGCGCTTAGGGATTATAACCCTTACTAAGTAGAATTCTCCTTTCTGTGTTGCCGGAAAAGGGGGCCGGAAGTACTTTTGCGCAGAACTTCTTTCTGCGTAGGCGGCCTTCGGCCGCGCTTAGGGATTATAACCCTTACTAAGTAGAATTCTCCTTTCTGTGTTGCCGGAAAAGGGGGCCGGAAGTACTTTTGCGCAGAACTTCTTTCTGCGTAGGCGGCCTTCGGCCGCGCTTAGGGATTATAACCCTTACTAAGTAGAATTCTCCTTTCTGTATTGCCGGAAAAGAAGGGCGGACGTATTTTGCGCAGAACTTTTCTCTGCGTAGGCGGCTTTCAGCCGCGCTTAGGGATTAAAACCCTTACTAAGTAGAAGTAAATAATTCATATTAGAAAAAACGAAATTATCCATATGCACACTTTCGTTAGAAAACCGAAATAATGCATATAACAAAAACCGAAATAATGCATGCATGCACAATTTCAGTTCAAAACCGAAATAATGCATATGGCTAAAACCGAAATAAAGCATACATGCACAGTTTCGGTTGAAACCGAAATAATGTCTAAATGCACAGTTTCCATATGCGCAATTTCGGTGCCCCGAAATGCCCTTGGCATCATATAAAGCAGGCCGGCAACTACTAGCTGCAACTAGATGATTAATTTTCTCTAAATATTCTCATTTGAAATTTGAAAAATTGAATAGTGACACCTTTTTAAGCAAAGACCCTTTTTCCTGCGATTTTTACACACTCAATATTCAAATACATACATAATCCAGCAACCGATAATCAAAAATATTTATAAAAAGGTATTTTTTCGTTTATCTGAAACAAATTTTAACTCATAAGGATAAAATAAAATTAAGTTATTATGAAAATGTAATTTTTAAGCAAAAAACGCAACCGACTTGAATTCCGATAGAAAAAGAATTATCGAAATCGGTTGGCATGGTCCAGAGTTATGCGCTGACATATGTACATAAGAAAAATATTCCGACAAATTGATAACCTCCTCCTTTTTTGAAGTCGTTCAAAAAGTAAAAAATCTTAGTATCCCAGCAAAAAACACGATTACCACAGAAGCGAAAGTGGAAACGAGCTAGGCGATGGGAATCGCTTACCCTTTCGCTTCAAGAAGGCCTTATTTTAACATGGGCATGTCATTGGCGGTAAGCCCTTACCCGCAGCATTACCTTCGAACGAAGGGAGAACGCATGGATAAACAGAATCCAGAGAAGCGAACAAAGAATGCCTTACAGAGAAACTAATGTAGAATGCCTAGATAAGTACATACTTATTTATATTAAATTGAAATCAGAAAATGTCTTAAAAGGTTAAAATTAATTAAAATTTTTATAAACCAGCGTACATATGTATGTATTTAGGTATTTAGATTTTCTTTAAAATCGGTATGTACATACATGCATATTTAATTAAGCTTAAAATTGTACTTCCTCACTCTTGTACGTCACTTCATTGACTGACTTCAACTTCGCTGCAAATTGAACAAAGCAAAACATGATTTTTATGCGAGACAAATTTCCACAGAAAGTAACGGTAGAAAAAGAATTTTTGGATATTCATTCCATTTTTCAGCTGACTACGATGAAGCATTCTACTTTGCATTCCCCGAAATGAAGCAAAGAAGCGAAACAAATAAAATATTGTAGGACATTCTACTTTGCATTCCCGGAAATGAAACGAAGAAGCGAAACGAATAAAATATTGTAGGACATTCTACTTTGCATTACAGGCAATGCATAAAAGAAGCGAAAAAATTCGGAGGCATTATAACGCTACGCCTTCTAGAACACGTTACCACTAAAAGCGATTACCGATTTTTTGCTGGGATATTGCCGAAGGAGGGGTGGATGTAGCCATTCACCGCCCCCAGCTACGCCGCCGTCTCTTATTAAGTATTACATACAGTGACTCACACAATTGTTTACGTGTTGATTTTATTTTAATTTTCACAACGTTTTTTTATTTAAATTTTTTTCTTATATCCGTCAGCAAAAAAAAAAAATAAATATTAAAAAATCAACGCGATTTTTAGACGCTTCAAACTTGGTTTTCATGAGACTAAAATTTTATGGGCTATAAAACACATACACAAAATTTTTTTAAAGATTCAGATGAAAATTTGAAACTCTGATTTATATGGCTTTGGCTAAAGCTTGGACAATACTTTTATAGAAAAATAACAAAACGAAAAATTCCTTGAAAAACGTTGTGAATATTTAAAAAAAAAAAATCAACACGTGAACACTTGCGCGAATCATTTGGGTGGTTCACAAGGTGTCGTACTTGTCGTATTGTTGTATGTTGTAAAGTTTTTAACGGCTAAATAAATGTTTAGAGGACTTGAAATCACCACCAACTATTTTTTAATTGTGTGAAATTTCATAATAAAACTTTTATGTTAGCTTGCGAATTCCTTAAACATAGTTTTAGCCGTTTAAAGTTTATGACATACAACAGTACGACAGTATACAACACCTTGTGAACTCCCTAATTGTATATAAAGTTTTAAATTTAAATGCGCATTCTGCTTGGTGCGAATGAGGTTGAGTATTAACATATTTTACGAGTACAAATTAAAATTTTTTCATTAATTTTTGGTCTTCGTTGAGGAGGATATGCTACTCTAAACTTTTACTTATTTATAAATTGTGGTAAGGCATTACAGATTGTACGTTTTTACATAGTTTAATGTACACAAATACAACTGCATATAGTATATATAAATGAAAAACTTTTTATACATATTAACATACATACTTATATATGTATGTATGTACATAAATATTTTATTATCAATTTGCAGTTTGCAACCGAACTTATTACGGTGACATTGGTCGCACCTATACATTAAAAGTGCCAACACCACAATGGAGTCGACTGCCATTTTTATGTCACCTAACTTTCACAGCTTCAGGGCGTGAGCAAGGCGATATTGTGCAAGTAAGTGCGATTAAATAGATACTATTTAGAGTATTGAATTCAAATTGAGCGACTATTAGGGACATTAAATTAGTGCATTTATTTATGAATAGGCAAACATACAAAAGTATATGCAGTTGCAAATACATAAATGTGTTCAAACTTTAAATTTGAATTCGCTAAAATTTATGTTTCTGGAAATCAAAATTTTAAATACAATTTTTATAATTTTTTTTCCAGATTATCTTCGATAGTTTTACGGTGGGTCGCTTCGATGAAGGCATGGTGGACTCAGATATTGACGGTTACGAAAGCAATGTTAACCCAGCTGGCGAGTTGCCAGGCTGTCCCGAGGGTTTTATGCAGGCAAGTTTTTATTCGAATTTGTTCATTCGAAAGAATATGTCAATATATGCTAGTTAATAAAATAATTGCAGCTGAGCGAACTGGGGCGTCCATTCACAGGCGGTTCTTGGTGCGGCAAAGCAACAGGGCCTCAATTATATTTTAGCGAAACATCGACAGTAACTGCATCTGTGAAGGTAAGTGTCAGATGTTTGCTGGTTTTACGAATGCACACATAAACATTGATTTTGACAGTCAGACAGATATTTATTTATTTATCAATCAGTCTATGAAAGCATAATTTCTTACAGACTATTTAACAATCAAGCTTAAGCTAGGGCATCAAATTAAGCATATTGGTAAAAATTGACTTAGGTAGAGAAAAATCAAGGTCGATAGTAATTGAGATCTGGTTAAGTTCACTCATTGCCCGGCCAATGGGTGCATTACGGGCATAATTCGTTTTGAAATTTTCGGCATAAAAAGGCAGGGAAGCACGCAGATACCTCCTCGGTACATTAAAATGTATTCTACCCAAAAGCTGCGGACAGTCATAAGATCCTTGGATAATGCAAAAAATAAAAGTCATAGACAATAGTGACCCTCTTTTATCTAACGATTTTAGATTGAGCAGCGATAAGCGCGCATTATAGGAGGGTATGGGATCAGAGAAGCGTAGTGATCGTAAGGCAAATTTGAGAAACACTTTCTGAACGTGTTCAATCCTATTTTGATATGAAACTGGTGGAACGGACGCCAGATTATTGCTGCGTTAACTACAACCAAATTCTGAGATAGGATGTTTTTCAACAAAATTCTGGAATACGGCGTTCTTGAAAAGTTTTGAGATAGGGCGTTTACGAACTGGCTGCCGAGATACCTCGATCTTCCACTCAGCAATCGATATGGAAGAAATCCGCATCACCTTTGGCGAAAAAAATTCTAAAAAATCAACGGTAACTTTTAGCCACTTGAAACTTGCACATTAATCGATTGGGCTATAAAACTGTGTATTCAAACAAATTCTAACAATTCGGAGAAAAAGGTATGAAATTTGGGTGGAAATTTTTTGCACGTTTTTGTAGTTTTCTACAAATTTTTAAACTTCGGTTTACATGGGTTTTGTTAGAGAAAGAACTGTATTTTAATTGAAAATTCTTAAAAATAAATAAATAAACATAAATGGCACACAATATCACTCTAAAATGGCGTGTATGTAACCGTCGCGACAGCTTTCCAATGTTTTTGAGCTGATACTCTGGCAATTTTCATTACTGTGTACTACTCGTAGAACTGCATAGCTTGGAATCCTTCTTTGCTAGACCGTTCGCATGGATGTTTTCTAAAAAAAGGGGTTAACTGTTCAGCGGTCTTTGTTTTTTACTCCGGTCAAAGATTTTATTTTTTCTCCTTAAATGAAAACAACTAAAATAAATTTAGAAATATTTCTCCAGCGAATAAAACTTATTTAAATATTTTCCCAGGTATTTCATCCGCCCAAGAACATCCATGATGAGAAACCATTCGAATTCAAAATACGATACAAATTCATCAGTCAAACTGATGCTGTTGTCAGGTATGTGTGACGATATATGTATGTATGTATGTATGTAAATAAGTATAGTTGTGAGTCCAATTGTTGTATGAAAATGACAAACATTCTTAATAAACCTCCTTTATCGTTTTGTTTTTTTTTTTTCTTTTATTTCCAGATACGGTCTGCCCGATAAGCCTTTGGAATTGGGGCGCGTTACACCTGGCACGTATTGTACACGCCAATTTGATGAGTGCTATCGAAATAAATGCCATTTGCAAAGCCCAAATTATCCGGGCATGTATCCGCGAAATGTAACCTGTTATTGGACGATACGACAAAAGGAGGTGCCCACCAGTAAGCATGCCATGATTGCTGTTAGTCAAGAAAATCAACACAAGGCGCTAGTAAAAAGGTAAGGGGATTGATAAAATTTACTTGTAAAAAGAGAAAAAAAGTTAATAATTTACGGACTAATGTATTGATTTTTTTCCACCTCAACAGATCCATTGCAAGTTTTAACAAGACTTCACGTTCCATACGAGCGTGGTCGGACTGCACAGGAGAACGGGATCATTTGATTTTCTATGATGGCAGCTCCACAAATGATCCTGTGTTGGCAAAATATTGTGGCGGTGACTGGTTACCACGTGTGGTGTCGCGGTAAGTTTTCACATTTTTTAAGGGAAATTTCTAAATCCAATTCGGTGGTGTTTGCGGCCAATATCACGGTTCAACAAAGTTTTATCGTATTTTACCTCAATAACGGGGCCGACCTCATCTTGTAGATTTTTTGATGCTGATTTGAAGTGCAATTACAAAATTTTTCTAGCACGTCTAGTTTTTGAGAAAAAAAACTGTTGAAGCTGCGAAAAATGGCAAATTAAAAAAAAAAAAATAGAATCGAATTTGGACGTAGTTTTTCCGAAGAAAAAAAAACGCTTATTAATGAAAATCCAATTAGTCTTACGGATTCTAGCTCATGTCTAAATGCGAGTAGGCCATTGGCCAGCCTTCTAACTAAGTACTTCCAAACTAGGCAATGCAGGTCTCAGGGAAATTATGTTGGTAAATATAAGAAACTGGGTTTACTCTGCATACTGACAGGTCACACGAGCATTCCTGCAGATTTGGTTAGAAAGGGCTTAGGTCAAGTATTTCTTAGCCCGCAACTATGTAGTTAGAACACTCAGTAATGACCGGAAGGTTTCAATGGTCTGCTTTATTAAGCTAGTAGGATAGCAGATAACTTTTGGAATTTCTAAGTGGCCACTACCCGAGGTACAAACCGCTAAATGCGGTTGGAATACATTAACTTATTTACCTTTCCTGCCTTAAAGGAGATGAACGGGCAGGCCCCTTTTTGTGCTTCGGCCCCACCTCCGCAACTACGGTTTGTGTACTCGTAGTATACCCTAAGTTCTGTTTCCTGCACGCTTGTGTGTTCGGACCAACAAACAAGCTTTTCCTCCAAGAGTTATAAAGAGTTTTATATCCAATATAAATTCATAACTGCAGTCGTAAGTTTTGAATAATGTTGTAATATTGCTTAAGAATGTTCTTTATCAGTGTTCAATGCGACATTGTTCGAGTTACTTTAAAGAGAGTTAATAAAAAACTTACCTATCTCGCAAAATAGTAGTATATTGGGGAGTATGGTAGTATGAATGACAAAATAGTAGTAAAAAAACTCCTATCGCAGTAAATTCGGCAGCACTGCTTACACACATGCAGACGTGGTAATAGTTGATTACCATTGGTCACAGTGCCTACCTACTACTTTTTGGTACAATAAATATTTTTTATGACTGCATGCAAACATACCGGTCTCCCTTCTCAATAAGGTAATAAAATAAAGTCCTAAAAATTAAATTAAATTTAAAATATATACATACATATATATTTTTCTCTTTAATATAGTAAAATTTAAAAAGTAATAGAAAATTATATTAAAAAAGAAAGTAAATTAAATTAAATTAACAAAAATATTTCACTTTTCAATTTAATAAAATCTAAAATTTAAAAGAAAGAAACTATTTAAAAAATTAAATAAAACAAATGAATTTCTAAAAATTAAATGAAATTAAAAAATATTTTTCATTTTAAATTAAAAAAATCTAAAAACTAAAAGAAAGTTAAATTTAAAACAAAAAAAATTGATTGATTGAAAAAATACACTAAAAATTAAATGGAATTAAAAAAATATATAAAAGAATATTATCTAAACATAAAAATAAAAAATTAAACAAAACAAAAAAAAAGTTCACTGCCCTAGGATTTGAACCTCGGATCTCTCGAATGGCACGTAATGGTACCTTGCTCACTCGGTTAGAGTCCTTCAATTGTCTTACACAAGACTTGCAACCAGAATTGTCTAGCAAGAGAGCGAGTTGTAAAATAAGCAGTTTGTCACATAAAAAAGAGCAAAAATAAAACTCGTAAAAAACTTCCACCAGAAGGCGCAACAGTGAAAATTTTCACATTTTCTTCATTTGGCACATATTTTCACAATTTGGCAAACTCTAAATTGATTTTAGACCCATGGTTTGTTTGGCAAAATTGCTTAGAATTACACGTAGAATCGTCCTATACTATACGCACATATATTGAAAAATATTTTGCAAATTTTTTCCTTTGTGAAATTTTTTCTATGAATTTTCACTTCTTCCGTGCGTGTCTCAGTGTTTTATTTAAACTAATTAATAAATAAATAACCGTCCATATTTCTAACTTTCATTTTATTAGCCTTTGTCTATTTTATATCTACTTCCATATAAACGACCTGATAACGTCTTTTTTTTTGCAGTGGACCTGAAATGTTGGTTGCATTCCATTCTAGCCCATTTTCGGCGCCCTTGCAACAAGGCGTTCCGAATCGTGGTTTTGAACTTGATGTCGATATTATTTTCACAGATTCAGATTCATACGATTTTGCACAAGGCACAAAAAATACCTGCGAGTTCCATATAAATGCAACAAATCCAGGTGAGTGGAAAAAGAAAAATTTTGTTTTCATATTTCTGTTCTCAGTTTGTCCCTTTTACTTATATATATACATATATATATATTATATAATATTATACTTACTTAAATATTAAGTTTTTCTATGAAGGCTCTCTCAAACTCAAACTTAATTTACTGCAGATGATGTACTCTTCTCGCGGCGTGGACGAATGGGCCGTATTGTAAGCCCACGGCATACACTACCACCGAATACAACATGCACCTACCACTTTCATGGATATCCGGGCGATCTGATTTGGTTGTCTTTTACAAGCTACAATCTACAGATATTACAGCAAACAATTCATGACAACAACACGCTAGGCAGAGTAAGTAAAGGACGAACTTCAAGTCTATGCTACTTTCGAAACAATTACATCCATATTTCTTTAACCCAATCATCATTTTAGGCTGATTTGCCACCATGGATCACGCGCCTAAGAATGTGGGACAGTTATGGCACGTATGTTTCATCGAAAACCACAACAACAACTGGGCAGCCACCATCACCACCACCAGTGGCATCATCTGCATCGGGAAGCAAACCAACTACCTTGAATCAAAGCGCCTACGGCAATTATTATTACAGTGCACAAAATCCCAAATTGAGTAAAAATCTACGCGTGAATATTGATAATGCATGGAATCCGGTCGATACATACATCTATGGTCCAACACAATCGAGTATATTCAATAATGAAAATAAGTATAGTGGCTATCAGCAAGCTGGAGCGGGTGCAGGTGGCAAACAGAGTGGTGGTGTCGCCAATAGTGGCATAAGCGGCATAAAGGAGAGTTTAAATTATATTTCGGGTGGTAGTAGTGGTGGTAAGGGTAGCAAGGATACGTCATCAGCTGAAAAGAGCTCGGTTTCATTGATGAGTTCGAAGGGCAAGCGACGTTTAATGTTGGAAATCTATGATTATGAAACACCGAAGTTGTGCGATCACACTGCCATTAGCAATAATGCATTGGGCTTCAATAAGCTGAGACCATGTAGTCCTTTGGAGAGTTATGTTAGTTCCGGACGAGATTTGGTAAGTGGAATATAATATTGATTTGGTAGGAATTATTCATAGTACTTTTTGGAATTGACTAGTATTAGTACTCATTTGCACCAATTGTTATGGAACATGAATAAGTACACCAATTTTATTAGTACTCAAAGCCGGTACTGGACTCCGCATGACTTACAATTATGCAGAGATGGTTATTGATCGTTATTATTGGCCCAAGCGCCTACTCAAAAATTTTTTGTTTGAATACATTTTTTGTAAATAAATTCCTCCCGGACATCCCCCTCACTGAGTTAATCAAGTATTTTTTAAGCCTTTTCGTTTTTATCTGCCGTAATTACATTTATTCCCTGGCCAGCAGTTGGAAATACGGCATCCTTCCTATTTCTTTTGAGCCGAGACAAAAAAAAATTACATAGTTGCCTACCTCCTTTCCGAAATTCCGTGAGTTTTTCTGCACTTAGCTCCCTGTACTCTGAGATTATCTCTAAAATTTGTCCTTGCTCGTCAAAGCAGCCACGAGTGTTGCTCAGAAAATGCATTTGGAGGTGCTCCCTCCTTTTTTCAATTGCCCCCAAGGTATCTGTTACCAGATCTCTACCCATATCCTTGTAGAAAACAGCTCCGGTCTACATAGAAAATTTGATTGCTGCCCACCAGCATTCCAAGATCTTTGCAGCTAAGTGAGAGCTTCTATTATCTTTCCCTTCAAAATAGTTCTCTTCTTTTTTCCTCAATCATCGCTCAATCCGTCATACATGGTGGGTATATTTTAGTGACGACCAGAAATAGTTTTCACTCTGTGCGTACGGCGTACTTCTCTGCGGTAGCGATTCGGAACTTTTCGCAGTACCAGTTCTTTCTGCTAAGGAGCGATGTGCACTCTGAATTGTTACTAAATCAGAAGCGAATTTTAGTATCGTTAAAATGGACAGAAACTGGAAGAAGTTAATTGAAGACTTAAATGTATAAATAGAACACACGCCATCTTTATAAGGTCCGACGAAAATAAGTAATTTCAGTATTTGAACATGTTCATTCGTGGTTGTTGCTCGGCAAGAATTTAAAAGGCAAACGAAAAATATTTCTCCCACGATTATTCGAGAAGAGCTAAAAGAGGGTGTGACGATGTGGACTTCAATTGCATCGACGGAAGAATTGACACACTTTTTTATTGCAACCATCAATTGTTTTGTTGGGTTGCGTTAGGATTGCGACAAAGAACTCGACGCACAGTGTCGTCTTGATACTACAGTCCTCGCAAGAATGTTTTGCCTTCTTAAACAAACAACTTGGTTGATAAAAATTTATATTTTGATAAGACTGTGCTGGAATAGGTCTTTCAGAGAGTTGTATTGAAAATCTCGTTTAGCAGACCTCCCTAAAGTCGAACAATTACACAGCAGATCCTCAACTTTTCCCTGTTCGTATTTGTCTCTGCACCTGAAGTAGTGCTGATAGGGAATACATAGCGTTCTATCATCGGAGCCAATAGAACAGTTCTTAATAAGGATGTTGAAAAGTCACGTACGACCTGGGAGTTTCGAATAAAGGGGCGTGGTCTTAAGGTCATACTCGGGTCGTATACAATTTCAGGTCCAATGTCTGAAAATAACACAGGTCGATTGTTATTTTTATTCATCTTATTGGGTATTGGATCCACTCTCCGCTTGAATACATCAATTAACTTTTCTTCCCAAGAATAACAAACAACCTTTGTCTCAAACAAGTAATTTTTAAGCAAAAAACAAAACCGCCTTCAATTCTCATATAAAAATTTAAGAGTACCGTAATTTCTTCATGATCCAATGGCCGGATATAAACCAAATGAGTATGGGACCACTCCGCAGGTACATCCTTTCCTTAAAAAAATAGAATTATTTAAATCGGTTAACGCGGTCCAAAGTTATGCGGTAACATACATTAAAAAAAAAATAAACAAAAAATATTCCGACAAAAGGGCCGCTCAAACGAAACAGATCGCACAGTAATCCAACAATTCAGCTAAACCAAAAACCCCCAATCTCTCTTTACAGAAACTGGAGTTTCACACTCACACCGGCACCGCGCTCTTTCCGGCTCAATTTTCGCTGAATTATGAATTTGTGGACACCGAACAGGGCGGCGAACCCTGGCCCGGACGCAGAGGGGAAGATCCCGTACCACTACTCTGTTCACGCGTTTTTCGCAAGCGTAAAGGCAACATACAGGTGCCACGAAATGTCTTCCTCTACGGCCGTGGTGGAGCCAAGAATTTCACGTGCCTATATCGCTTCGAAGCCGGCACATCTGAACGCGTCCGCCTAGTGTTACACAATGTTACATTCGGTGAGGGTACTGCATGTACAACTGACTCTGATCTGCACACCGGGCGTCCGCGTTGTAATCAACTCGACCCGGAGGGGCGCCTGACTGAATTGCGACTTTTCGATGTACCCTTTCGTGATGTGAAAATACAATTGGGTTGCTTCTGTGACAACTCCAGTACGCTCTACAGCAATGCGCCACTAACATTCATATCAAATTCGCGTGTCATGGAGCTATCATTCACCGTCACACGTTTGAATATTTCGGAGGATTTTGCAGATGTTTACTTTTTCGCTTCATACGAATTTAAGCGAGTGAGTGAATGCCGCAAGCGACTTAAGCTGAAAGGTGCTGGTGGTGAAGATGAAATTAAGTATCCTATGAAGTCACAGGACTCCAGTTGTGAAGGTCTCTCTTGGTGCATTGAGGCACAGACATTGGAGCATTCACTATTCGTGCAGACGTGGGGCTCTTACTTGCCCATAGATCCGACATCGGAGGATGCTATGCGTTGTCATACCAAAAATCGGTTGATCATATATGCGGGACGACCTTTGAAGGTGATGCGCGTTGTTTGTCCAGCACAGAGTGGACCGAGACCGACTTCGTTGCATATATTCTCAGAAGATTGGACAAATGGACAGCCTTTGTTTACCAACAAGTAAGTTCGATAAAGTGAGCTCAATATGTAGTTAGTTATTGTCTTTTTATTTATTTTTTATTGCAGGCCAGTCAGCTTAGTACTGGAACCGATACTCAAAGAGCCCGGCGACATTGCCTTCACATGGTTGGAAATCTACCGCACACGAAATTCCTTAATTCAACAGCTCGATATACAAACCAATGCCAGCGTGATGACGGGTGGCGCTGCAGCTGGCAATGACACATTGACCGACATCGGCTTTTATCCGAAGGAATCCGATTGCGAATATAAATGTCCCGAGCTGGATGCGTGTATAGCGGGGACCCTATGGTGTGATGGTAAGTGATTTGTACTTAAGTTAGTTTAGGTTTATTATTAGGTTTTCTACCTGAAAGTTACCTACGTAAAAGTACTGAAAGGTGCAGAAAAAAATCCCTCAAAAATACCGAAGGATTTCGAAAAATTAAGTACGAAATGTTCCGAAAAAATCGGAAAATGCGTGCGTCTATTGCTGAAAAAATTCTATCGTTTTTCCGTTCCTGATCCATCAACTAGGTACAAATAAACTAAATTCCGGTAAAAATACCTCCCCTGTATGTATTTATCTTGTTTGAAATCCAACTTGCCTAATATCTGTACACTAAGACTCACAAAAATGATGTGAGTCGTTTTGCTTTTCTAAGATATTTTCCAGGATTTGACATTTTTCGTGCTTGAAGCTACTACATTGATAAGGCCCAATTAGTTGGTTCATTAAGGGTTTCAGTATTTCAATCAGTATCGTCAGTAGCACCTCATAAGTAATGTTAATAAAGCTTGTAACGACGTAATTGGCGGAAATAGCGGGATATCCGACAGGCGTAGGTTGTATTGGTCACAGCACACTGAGATTCCAATCAACGGCGTGTAAATATTCGTACCCAGTAAACATTCAGGCTTGATATCAAATAGAGAGCAATTTGATAGCAAACCCATTTATAAACACTTGCACTTGGTATCAAAGTTTGATTTGGGATTGATATCAAAGCCGTTCTCAAACAAAAGAGTACTGCACTGCAGTTATGTTAACTTTGGACTTCTCGAAGGTATTCACGAGTTGGATAGAAGCACCGACCCAGACATTCCAGGTGCACATCCACAAATATTTGTATTTGTTTCATCTACGTGGCTTATTAGGCCCCTCTATTTATATATTTTTATTTGTTTTTGAGAGGCTTAGGGTTAAATTTCGGAATTTTTTTTAGAAATTTTGGCTTCAACGGCAAAATCAGTGACTTAACTTCCCACGCATTAACTCCCATCAATTGATAGACTACTATAAAATTTTGAGCAAGCCGCGCCATTAGTTTTTATTTGACAGCCATTAAAAGCAGACAACCTCGTGAAGTTTAACGATAATGAAACGAAGTGAATATCGTGTGCTGATTGCTTAATCAGTTTCGTTTTTGCGTAAAAAATTAATTACCGAAATGAATAAAATGTTTGATAAATACTAAGGGGATTCTGCACCATCAATTTCAATAGTTACAGAGCGGTTTACGGAGTTCCGTTGTGGTCGTACCAATACAAGTGACTCCGAACGTTCAGGTCGCCCTAAAGAGGTGAAAATTTGTGAAGTGGCTGAGCATCTCAACTAAGTGGGTTCATCACATTTTGGATGAATATTTTGGTATGAAAATGCTATCCGCGCGACTAGTGACGCGCTTGCTCACACTCGACCCTAAATGCAACCGTGTCAAAAGGAGTGTTTGGCGATCTGCAGCCGCAATCCGAATGAAGATCTGCACCGTTTCGTTACCGTGGATGAAACTACTGCACTCCACATCCACCAGATTTAGCTCTCAATGGGTCGAATGAAGAGGTTATTACTACTTTGAAAACCTTAAAAGACCTATGATTTGAAAGGAATAAAATTATAGGAAAAACACTGGACTAAATGTATCGAGCTAAAAGGAGACTTTTTTAATAAATAAATCGCTTTTTTTGCCGAGAAAAGTCAGGAATTTTAAAATTTCATAGAAATATTACTTCATTATACGAGCTACGTATCCATATCCTTCCATTGCCCTACTTTGTAAATATGTCTAACCAGCACTGGATTAAGAGCACGACCGATGGGGCCACGACCCAGTGCCCCCACATTTGCGTGGCCCCCACATGTGATGATGAAACAAAAAAATAATTTTTCAGAGATTACAGAAAAGATCGCTAGGTATTAAGAAGATTTATCAGCACCATCAATACATATTGTGGAACCTAGCTTATAATATAATACAATACAATAATGGAAATTTCCGTAGGCTGCTGGAAATTATAGCTCAGAATGACCCGCGTACATATCAAAGATTACGGAAATAAGGGACGAGGGCAAGTGAATTATTCATCCTCAGCAAGCTGCGAGGAAATAATAGCTATGAGGAGTGAGAAATTACGGACAGAAATAATAAGGCGGATTAAAAAGACAAAATATTCGTACTAAATATTTCATCCCTGTTCTGCCGTTGTCAGTTGTTTAATACTAGATGCAACATGAGCGACAAATGAAATTATAATTATTTTTCCAATTAATTGTATGTAATTTTTAACTCAAAAAGGGACCCCCACATTCTTAATCGGCCCTGTGTATAACGTAAAACTAAAATTCTGTATATAAACTGTATAACGTAAAACTAAAATTCTGTATGTAAACCCCAAACCACATTGAATATGTACATTAGAGTGGTCCAAAACATTTTTTCGAGACGGGGTTTGGGGCACCTTCTCCTCTGACCGAATAAGGAGCAGGTACCAAAGTTCACATTTCTGAGTATAAATTTAGAGGATGCTCATGATGCTCATATTTTAATCTAGACGTATTGTGTACATATATTAATGAAACAATTGTTAAAACAACCTAAGAACATTTCAAATTTAAATTATCTTAAAAAAATATCACAAGCTTCAGTTGTTATGGCAACAGTAGCTTTTTATAAAAATCATAAAAAATTTTGCCAGTTTCACAGCGATCCAGTAGCGCATTTCAAGGTCATTGAGAAGCCTGTATTAGTCACAGTAGAAAATTGTAAGTTGGTACAAATATGAAAAGGCAAAAACTAAGCAGGTGCCCCATTTTCTAGACATACAAAAAGTGAACTACTCTAATGCACATGCATAGCGCATAATTTAAATAAATACACTTGATAAATAACCAAAAAAAAAACATATACTTATCTTCTCAAAAAAAACAAAAAAAAAAAACAATATCTCTTCAGGCCACAATAACTGCCCATCTGGATTTGATGAATCTGAACAGGAGTGCGGCTCTGCGCGCAAACTACTCGAACTGCCAGGCGGCGTATTTGCTGCGCTCGGCTGCATAGCGGCAGCCATAACCGCCTGTCTCATATTCTGTATTTTCGGTTTACTAAGGAAACGTAAAAAAACTGTCGGCCAAAAGATTACCATAAATGGTAGTACACTCAAAAAGGACTTCAACAAGGAGTCACTCTTCATTGATCCAGCCTCTTGACACGGACTACAGCCGGTCGAATTTATACATGTCGATCGGGAAACGACTGTGTGATATGTTGCCGATGAATTTTAGTGCTGCTAAGTATTGCTGTCGCTTTAACATTAAATACTCCAACGAGAGTACTACGGAACGGACGGACGAAAGGGGCATATGTACGTTAAGGATACGTTATCTCGATCCTGCATGCATGAGAGACCCAATATACATATGTATTGTGTGCCCTAATTAAATGATATACATACATACTTACATATATATACATATATACATAAATATAGAAATATAAGGAATTTTTCTAAGCGCTTGTTTTCAAAATACATACAACAACAACAACAATTAAACGAGACAACAACAAGAACTAACAACCAAACCAAAAATAAAAAACAATATACACAAAGAAAAAAAAAACAATGAAATTAGAAATGAGAGAACGCAGATAAGCAAAATTAAGATAAGAAAACGATACAATCACTGCCTTTTGATCTTGATAAATACTTATCTACTAATTTCCGTGATTGCATTTTAACTAAACCAGTATTAATGATCGATGACTACGCTGTGCGACAGAAAAGTAAGAACTCAATAAGAATACTTGTAGATAAGTACGTATTCTTGCATTTGTGGAATGAAAGAATTTTAAAACAGTACTGGTTTAAATTCTATATCTGATTTTAGCTTAGGTAGAATTTAATTTTTTTTTTATTAATTTAACTAAATTACCAAATGTATTTAAAAAAAAAATCTACTCCTTGGCCTGAACAATGAACCAGTTGTACTCTATTCAGTACTTACGACAGTCCTAAGTCTCTGACGCACAGTGTTATTTGTAAAATATTTTTTTATGTATAATTACGAACTTTTTAGAGTTTATTTATAAAATTAGTTCTTATATATAAGTTAATTTTTTATAAATAAAAAACAGTGAATGAAGCGCACTCTAAACGCGTAGCAATAGTGGTGCCAAAATCAAAATACCCAATCAGTGTTTTGTTGGTTGTTAACCTTCGAATTTAGTATACGAATTTTATTATCAATTTCCTTAAATACCTATTTGATACAATTTAAATGGTAACGGAAAACGAATTTCCACTACTGGCACTGAAATAAATAGATTTATCAATTTATCAGGTTTGCAAAAGCTGTCATCAGTTTATATGGGTACACACGTAATTTTTTTGGTTACCCTCAAAATGTGAACTCCACAACAACAAGCCGCAGTGTTCCACACACATTTAATACTTAAATTAAAAAATTTATTCATTTTAAAGATTCGAATTTTTCTATCGATTGGGTATTTTGAAAATATATTGAATATTTATAATGCAAATTTACGTTTAAGCTATAAACTTATGTATCGGTAATGCTGTACGCGAGTATGTCCGTTTGTAGCGAAAAAAGGTTAAAATAGGAACAAAAAAAAAAACATAGAATACACTATTGTAAATTAGGTACCTTTTAATTAAAATGGCATGAAAAAGTATGTAGGTAGTATTAGGAAGAATGACAAACAAAAACGAGTAAAATAAATACTAAAATGCATTAAAAAAGAAGTAAGATAAAAGAAAATTTACTATTCAGCCATTTTCAATCAAAAATTTAAAGAAAATAATAGCAAAAAGACAAAACAAAAATCGAGAATGTAAAATGTAGCGAAGTTACGAAAATGTGCTCACACTTACATACATACATATGTACGTACATTCATAGCTACGTTTTAAGAATTCCACACCAATGGCGTTGCCTATATATGTACTTATGTACATACATAGATCGCAAGTTAAGAATTGCAACTTGTTACAAGAAATACAGAATTAGTATAAAATTTTAGTTCCCATAGTTGATATTGAATTTAAAGCAAATACTTCAGTTAAAATTAGATTGCAAATTCATTTACTTAGAACCTTATTTGGGGTTTCTAGGTTAAGTTAGGTTAGGCAAGGTGGCAGCCCTCCAAGGGGCTCACTTAGATACTTAATGTGTGTCCATACCACTTTAAAGAAAAAAGATTAACCTGGAACGGTAACACAAGTAAACAAGTAAACTTAGAAAATCCCTGAGTGCTGGTTATGAATTTCCGCAAGCAGCTGATGTCCACTTTGGAGAATTTCTCTGGAGCGACCATGAAGTATTTACGACCCGAGATGCTTAAACCAGAGCCATCGTCCTCCATACAATTGCCGCACATCGGATGCTCAGAAATATTAAGCCTACCGCATGAATTCCCATGGGGCAGTGCCCAGCTGTAGAAGTGTCCTAGAGCGCCCATAATCAACTACCAGCCAAAAATACCTTGGAACTTTGCATGTCGATTTTTTCGAACAGCGTTCGCAGAGCCGACTAAAAGTCCATTTGTCCAGAAGCAGTCCGCAGGTTGCCACAGGTACCTCAATAACTTACCTTTCGCAGTCCATCGGCACAGCAGTTTCCTGCACTGGCGCTGTGCCTTGGAACCCAAATCAGTCTGATGTGGAAGTAATCCGAGACAATAGAGAGATAGAAAGAGGTCACGCAGTCCCAGACTAGTTTTGATCTTGCCATCAGCGATCCCAGGTCTCTGATCGCCGCTTGGCTGCCAGAGTAGATATTTAACTCTCCAAATAGTATTTCACAAGTTCGCAACCAATTTACTGCTTCTTTAATAGCAGCTACCTCTGCCTGCAACACGCTACAGAAATCCGTTAGCCTAAATTTAATATCCAATAGAAGTTCCTCACAGAATACGCCTCACAGGTGTAACACCTGCTCCAACTGTGTCATCTAGTTTCGACCCATTCGTGAAGATATTCACCGGTCCTTTGCTCCCGAGACACACCAACCGCTCCCCTCATATTTCACTTTGCGGGATGTGTGAAGAGAATAACGCTCTTAGAACCATCCTCGGTACACACCGACCCCTTACTATCGATATAAAGTTGAATTTTCCTAAAATAGCCCAGTACCCATACTCCGAAGAGAGAGAGAGAATCCAGCATGCTGCAGCCTAATAGCAGAGCGTACCGCAGCAGCTTTGCATGCAATTTTTGCTGGTACGATGCCGAGCATCACGTTTAAAACTAGCGTTGGAGTAGAGCGAAGTAGTCCACTAATACCAATTAGGGATGCCCTTTGCAGCAGTTCCAGCTCCTAGTGGTTGTACAGAGCAGCAAATTGAAGACTCCGTTTAATTGATTATTTGCTCTGCTAATATCCTGCAAAAAATTTGCACCGTTTTCTGATATCATAGCATCAATTAAATTATTACTTTATAAATATACACCGAATTTCGTCCTTTTGTGCCGCGGCATAGGTGGCGTATGAGTAACATGAATATTCGACCAAGCCATATTCCTTTGTTTTGCATCCGTTATTGAAAAAGAATATGAAGATAGTTTTCAGTGTGGTGTAGGATGTGTTTATCTAGTCTCCGGCCGTCATTAATTAGCCAAGAGATGAAACAATTTTTTCGGGAAGAATAAATATCATCCACCTACATATCCAGTGGGCTACAGAATACAGGTCTACAAACTTCACTTTTATTTCTAGATGAGAGTGGTTCCAATGTATTTTTGTGCGCTTTTTGGTATTTTTTGATATTTTACCCCTATTTTTCTTAGAAACCTGACGTGCTAGAGACTTAGGTTTAAATTAAAGCTTGAATCTTACTCTATAGAAGCCATATATGCCGGTAGCAAAAATAATATACTCGCCTTATCTTGACCAGTTTTGGCTATATTTCTTGAGTTTAATTAATGTTTAATATATGTTTGTAAGAGACTAGCTGGTGAAGCAACAAACACCATATAAATCCGCATTTTAAAAATTGTACATTTTTTTCAGAATTTTTAGAAAATTTTTTGGTAATTTTAAATGAAAGAGCAAATTTTTGGCAAATATATATATAGATATATATATATATTATTTTTTTTTGTTAGCAGGGCTAGGCTTTTTCTCTCCCATATAAAACGATTTTCGAATTTATTTTGTATGGAAAAAATGGCGGACACCGTCCCCAAAAAAAAAAACAAAAAGTGAGTACCGATACCTCGTTGGTTGTATCTGAAGTTTCACAGAACTATGGGCGGAATTTTTTCTTTCTAGCCATTAATGGGATTTATAATTCATAAACTTATAGTGACGGTCAAAAATGGATGGATGGTGTTTAGCTTTTAATATTTACAATGTTTTTCAAGCTAAAATTTTTTTGATATTTTTTTTTATAAAAATATGGTTCATGCTTTAACAAAAACTAGATAAATCACGCTTTCAAATTTTGTGCAGAACTTAAGAAAAATCCCACAAATTTGTATCTAAATTTCGAGCTTTTTAACCAGCATTTTTAGAAATTGTTTGTATATGCAGTTAAAAGGCTTATGAAATTCTAGTAAAATAGGAGCAAGTTTTTAGTGGTTAAAAAATCGCATTTTTTTTGTTGACGGCGTTTTGGAATTTTTTCCATATAAACATGAATTTCTTGTGAAAGAATATGGGCAAGACCGTTTGCGAAAAAGAAAAAACAAAAAAAGTGAACGCCAGTTTTACTAAATTCCGCTATTTAGTTGCAAAAAAAAAACCAAATGCCGTCAGCAAAAAAAATTATTAAAAATGCGATTTTTTAGCCGGTAAAAACTTGCACTTGTCTTACTAGAATTTTGTAAGCCCCCCCAAAAATTTCTAAAATTCCGGTAAAAAGCTCGAAATTTAGATAAAAAAATTTGGAATTTTTATAAGTTCTGTATAAAGTTTGAAAGTATGATTTATATAGTTTTTTTTTAACATGAACCATATTTTTATAAAAAAAATATCAAAAGAATTTAATATTTTAAAAGCAGTTTTTAATTTTCATGTTATTCAATTTTCTAATTTTTTCAGCCAATATGTATGTAGTTCTACATTCGGTTTCTATTAAAATTTGTATTTAAAGATTTTCAAAAATTAGTATGAATGTTCTATTTTGGTATCATTTTGAATTTTAAATTTAAATACATATATGTATTTTTGACGAAAGATACTTTAACATTCTATTGTATAGTGAAATAAGACAGGCCCCTTACGGCGCCATTAAAAAAGGCCAAAAAACCAAGAAAAAACACCTTTAATTAAGACATAAGAAGTAGCTATAATTAAGAGTAGATGCATATACATTAATACTTTTACTTTAGGGCACATATTTAAATACAAACTAAAACACGCAAATTAAAATGTACTCGTATATGTAAAAGGGCCATTGAAGACGAAGTGATGAAATATTATAGATATTCACCAAATTAAGCAAGT